CTGATTCTGTTTCTTTAACTTCTGATAAAAGCTGATCTGTCAGGTGAACCGTTACAGAGTCATGGTTGCACATTTAGATGTGGAAGTTTGGTCACCAAGTTGGAGAAATGTCCATTTAAAGAACCCTTTTTGGTTAAATCTGATCCAAAACTCAGTTTAAACTTGGAGACCTTTGCTGTAGATGTTGGTATGGGACCTGGTTTATTTGCACTTGTATTTCCAGCCTTCTTTTCCCAGCATCAGTCCACTCATGAGTTGGGTCTAAATAAAGAAACCATTTAGAACATACATGTGAAAAGGATCCACCTCAGGCTTTTATTTTATAGCTGATCGCTGATTAAATCAAACTAAAATGTTCCATGGTGATGCTTATGAGGATAAATCCATTGGCCATGTGTGCCTCTGTTGACTTGTAAACGTTAACTCCTAAAGTCTTCTTCTTCTTCTTCTTCTTCTTCTTCTAACTCTCCCCTGCAGGAATGCTTTAAGGGGAGCTGGGCGTCTCACAAACTGCTGCATAAAAAAGCAAGTAGGTACCAGTCCGTGCTGTTGTGTTTATGTGTTTCCCAAAGAGCTGCACAGAGGAGGAATAATATTCTCTCATTTGAGACATTAAACACATTTCAGAGGAACCCTAAACAGATTTAAATTAACAAGAGTTAATGGCAATATCAAAAGGAAGTTTAAAGCCCACAATTCTCGGTTAAAGCTCCCGAGATTTGATTGGATGTGGGGCAGGAAAGTCCATAGTGGCTCTTTTTTTCCTCTAAAGTCCGGAAACAAGGTTTGAAAGATCCTCCTTATGGCAGGATTTGGCCTCCTACTCTGATCCTCAGGTAAACAAATGCAAAAAACAAACTACATGGAATTTGTGGGCCTTGGTAAGACTTCAGGTGTGACTGAGGTCTGTGCTGCATTCACTGGAAGGCAAACATTATGGGAAAAACCAGACATAGAAATGTTGACTTATCATTAAAGCTGCTGTTATTGTATGACAGAAACATTTAGACAGTTTTACTGTTGAGGGAGAAAACTCTGAGAAAATCAGTCCAAATGGTCCAAGAGCAGCTTTAATTTAACTTTGGATATGGAATCTTTTTTAAAGGCCTCTTTAGGCTGAAAATGCAGGAATTTTTAAAGATTTAAATGGCTGAAAATGCCATAAAGTGTTGACCAGAGGAAACCAGGCTGGTCTGTTTTTGTTCAGCTGCTGGTTCGACTCCTGGACCTGAGCAGAAACGCCACATAGAGCAGTTCCCCCACTTTCACATTATTCCGACTTCAGATAAAGACTCTCCTGGTTTTAAACAAGAGAACAAAACACTTTTGAAAACACTAAGTCTTTCTGTGTTTGTTTCTTCATCAATGAGTGACTGGACCTTTAAATAAAAGGGTTAAATGGTCTGAGTTGAGAAGTGGAGGATTCATAGGATTCACCTTTTGGACTCAGTGGAGGAAGTGGCTGAGAGGAGAGTGTTTTCCAGACTGAGATCCATCAGGAACACCACCTCTCCCCCCTGAGTCACACTGTAGATCAGTGTTTCTCAACCCCTGGTCCTCGGTACACTAGTGTGCCGTTAGTGATGGTCAGGTGTAGAAAATCATCCTATTTCACCTCATTGGTCTAAAAAGACTTTTTTTTTAAAGGAATTAATTATCTGCAAATAATATGTCATTTCTGAGTGTGTGTGCTGTTCTAGTGACTGGTGGAGTAATCATGTAATAATTCCTTATGACTAGATTTTGTATTTAATTTTGTATATTGAAGTGGACATGTTAAGTGCAATTTGAAAGAAGAAATATAAAATATGATAAAAATACATTTTTGTGTTTATTTGATTCCTATTCAAGACACTTAAGATAAGATAAGAATAAAATAAGAATAACTATAGTGTTACTATAGGCCGATACAGATTTGTTTAACATTTTTGGTTGGTGGTGTGCCTCGAGATTTTTTCAATGAAAAAATGTACCTTGGCTCAAAAAAGGTTGAAAAACACTGGTCTAGAGGAGCTGAGCAGTTCGTTTAGCAAAAGACTCACACACCCTGTGTGTAAAACAGAGCGATATTCATCATTCATTCATCCCTGCTGCTACCAGACTGTACAAAGCTGCACTTTAACAACTGCTATAACTACTACTATAACAAATGCTATAACTATTACTATAACAACTACTATAACTACTACTATAACAACTACTATAACTACGGTACTACTATAACTACTTTAACAACTGCTGTGCAATTGTGTTATATTTACTGACCTGTGTAATATGTGTACTGTGTGTGAGCATCAATGATTGTATATATTTTAAATCAAATATCTAGATATCATATATCTCAAATCTCTGCGCTGTGTTGCTTCCTTGTATATTTGTTTGCTTTTGCTGTACTTTATGCACCTTTTCCTCCTTTTGAACTCTAACCGATGTGTGACCAGTGGATTTCTCCAGATCAATAAAGCTCTTATCTTATCTTATCTAATTTTATCTTATCTTATCTTATCTTATCTGATCTTATCTTATCTTCTCAGAGGAGGAGAAGCATGAGGGTGAGGGCAGGAACTGTGTGGAGAACGACATCAACACCGACCCCTGGCCAGGTTACCGATACACGGGCAAGCTGAGGCCCCACTACCCACTGGTGAGGAAACAGACAGCCAGAAACAGACGGGAAGAGCCAGGAACAGACGGGAAACAGCCAGAAACAGCCAGAAACAGACGGGAACAGACAGAAACAGACAGAAAACAGCCAGAAACAGACGGGAACAGCCGAAAACAGCCAGAAAACAGACAGGAACAAACAGGAACAGACAGGAAACAGCCAGGAAACAGACAGAAACAGACGGGAACAGCCAGAAACAGCCAGAAACAGCCAGAAAACAGCCAGAAACAGCCAGAAACAGACGGGAACAGCCAGAAACAGTCAGGAAACAGAAAAAAACAGACAGAAACAGACAGGAAACCGACAGGAACAGACAGAAACAGACAGGAAACAGACAGGAACAGCCAGAAACAGCCAGAAACAGCCAGAAAACAGCCAGAAACAGCCAGAAAACAGCCAGAAACAGACGGGAACAGCCAGAAACAGTCAGGAAACAGAAAAAAACAGACAGAAACAGACAGGAAACCGACAGGAACAGACAGAAACAGACAGG